CCATCGGGCCGCGTCGAGGAGCCTCGTCGTCTCCGCAACGTTTCTCGACTCGGAGAAGGCGGCGAGGCGAGAGGCGGGGCCCGACTTACTTGAGGACGTCGGGCCGTTTCTTGGGTCCGCCTCCTTTGGCGTCCGTCACGGCGCTCTGGATGTCGGCGCGGATCAGGTGGGCCTGCGCCCACGCGTGCGGCTTAGACAGACGGCTCGGCGCTCCGAGCGCGCGCGCCTCACCTTGACGTGGTCGCACTGGAACAGGTGAAGGTCCGCCTTACTCTGGCCCGAGTCCTTGCACACCAGCGCCAGGATCGAGTCAAAGCCGCACGCGTTCATCACCGCCTGGCACTGCTGCACCGAACTCAGCGGGAACACCTCCAGCTCGCACTGCGGCGCGCACGCACACACACACACACACACACGCCAACTAGAAGGACAAAAACCGCGACCGGCAGGACTGGAAGAGCCAAACCACAAGAAGACGGACAAAAGGAAAAGGGGCGGAAGCTGGAGAAAAGCGAGACTCTCGGAAGGATTGGAAGAAGATGAAGAAGCAAAAGCTGGAGAAACAGATCCAGCACAAGAAGAGGACGGAACCAAAGGACAGATAGCAGAAGAGGAACGAGAAATATCCAAAGAAGAACCAGACGACGGGAAGGCGAGAGACCTGCACAAAAGGAAGAAGAATCGCCAGAAGAACAAAAACAGAAGAGCCCGACAACAACAACAACAACAACCGGAAGAAGGACCAGCACAAGAGAAACAAAAAGAAGAAGAAGGTGGAGACCACGGCAAGATGACGGCGGCGGCGGCGGCTGACCTCGGTGTCCGCGTCGAGGAGGCTGACGTCGTGGCGGCGGACCCGCAGCAGCATGTCCTGCGTCCAGATCTTGCCTTTGGCGTCCAGCAGCCGCAGCCGGCGCACGCCGTCCTCCGCCGTCAGCAGGCCGGCTTTGCGCTCCAGCGCCAGCGTGCTCAGGTGCTGCGCCGCCCGCAAAAGCCGCACCGTGACGGACGGACGGGCGCAACCAAAGGTGATGGACGGACCGACGGACACCGACCTCCACTTGGTACCGAGACGCGTCCGCATGGTCGTCGATGCTGCCGGGGCGCCACGCTTTCCGTTGCCCTGACGCGCACGCACACGCAAAAGCCGTCGGCGGCCGGACTTTCTTCGGGAGGCGCGCGCGCCGCTCACTCACTTTTCTTGGGATGTCTCGACCACGAGTGCGGGAAACACACTTGATCGCTTCCTGCCGACAGACATCGCCAACGGCCCGTCACTCTTTGGTCGAGCGCGGCCAAAGGCGACGGCGCTCTGGACGCGCGAGGCCAACTCACCGACGGGCGCCTCGCCCTCGCTTTGAGCTCGGCGGGCTTCGGGAGCGTCTTGGCCGCTGTCGTGGACACAAACGTTCACGTTAGGAGGAGGAGCGGGAGCGGCCGCAGGGTCGTCGTCGCTCCGACGGTTCACTCGCTTGAGCGAAACGCAAAAGCGCTCGGCGACGCTCGGGTCACGAATGGAGGTCAAGATCCAGGTCGGGCGAAATCGAGGCCGTCCACGTCAAAAACGGCAAGGCTCGGGCCTCTTCCCTCAGCGGCGCGGGAAAGAGGAACGTCGCTCGCATTTCGGGCCGCCGTCGTCGTCGTCTGCGAGGCTCTTTTGAAATGAGCAAAAACGCCAGTCCCGGCGGGCGACCCTGCGTCCCGTCAACTCACCGCTTCCAAATCCAGCCGCGGCACGGCTCCGGTCCACGGTCATCGTCTCGCTCCGGGTCATCATGGCCCGCGTCGTGGTTTCGGGCGAGAAAACCGGCGGGTCCGGGAACGGATTTTGCTCAAGGCCGAGGTCGGGGTCGAAAGTCACGGTCTGGGTCCGGGTCACCGTTGAGGTGGCGAACTCGGTTCAAATCCGGGACTTGGTTCAGGTCAAGGTCCGGGTTTGTGCTCAAAGCTCGCAGTCCGGATCCAGATCCGGATCAAGGGTGGAGTCAAGTCGGGCCCAGCTTCCAGTGGGTCAAAGTACAGGTACAGGTGGAGGTCGAAGGTCCCGGTCCAGATCCAGTCTCGTGTCTGACTCCAGCCGCGCGCGGTTCGGTCACGGTCCATCTAAGCCCACTGAGCGCGTCGCCCCCCCACGTCACGTGAGCTTCCGGTCGCCCGGGTTAGCGTACGAGCGCGCTCGCGGCTCACGGCAGGCCGACCCCGATTTCCCCGATGCGATTCCCGTTCGGACCGGCGCGGGCGAGCCAAAAGCCGAGGAAGACTGACTCGGTGGAGGACGGGCCAAAGACGGCCGAGGCGAAGGCTGCCGTCCCGTTGCCGTTCATCCGGTTCGCCGTCGGTCAGCTGAAAAGACAAAGGAAACACAATGAGCCCCGCCCGGCACCGGTCCACGTCGCGGGCGAACAACTCGGGCGACCGCGCGCAAGCCGAGCTCGGCAACTCAAGTCTTGCGCCGCGAACCCGCGGCGCACGGGCGAGCAAAACAACGGAACGTGCCCGGCGCCGCGTCGACCTTTCCCGCAGCTGTCCTTTATCGGGCTGGCCGGGTGGCCATTTGGGCTCCGGTTTCCACGGCGACGGACGCGCACAAGAGGTACAAAGGCGCGCTCGGCATCAGTTCGGAATGCCGCGCGGACGCGAAGCGAAGCGGAGCGGAGCGGACTCGCGCGGCCCCTCCCCTCCTTGTGCGTCCGGTTACTGTGGAGACGGCGATCGGCTCGGCCGGCGCGCCGACGCGGACTTGTCGTCATGGTAACCGACACCTCAATACGTCACCCACCGCGTATGCGCGCGCAGCGACTGATGGGCCGCGTGCACGGAAGATCAACCCCTTCTTCTAGCCCCTCCCCCTTCCTACTCCGATGACGGGCACGCGCGCAGAGGCTTTGTGTTGGAGTGGAGACAACCCATCAGCTGTTGCGCACAGCAACAAACAACAAGGGAGAAGATAAGACTTGGAGCGCCCCCCTTCCCCTGCCCCCCCCCACCACATTTCCACAAACAGCAGACGTGGCAACATTGGAGTTAGTGCCTGTGAGGGAATGCATCCAATCTGATGACTCATTGTCTCAATGGCTGAGAATTGGGATGCTAACGTGAATATTTCACGCTAACATCATCATGTGGCAGAGTGTGTGTGTGTTGACGCATTCAGAAGAAAGATCAGGCCCAATCCAGCCAAGTGAATGGGGCTCGCCCTTTCGGTTGGCGAGTGCGCGGATTGTAACGGCCGGTCGGAAGCGGCGAGGTCACTGACCTTCTCCGGGAAGTGGGCCGCAGGAGGGGTCACCCAAAGGTCAAACGCAAGCGTCCCGACGACGTGGGTCCAAACGGCGAGAGGCACAAAAGCGCCGATCGTGGAGAGAGGCGAGCAGCCGCCGCGGCAAATCCTCCTTGCGGGATTTGCCCCGCAGATCGCTTAAGCTCCTCGACGGGCGCGCGGCACCTGACGGGGGCGGAGCCTGCGACGGAAAGTCTTCACAACACGTTGGGACTCTGCGGGTTAGGGCGGCCGAAAAGCGCCTTTGCGGACGGAGGCGCGGCAAGGCGACCTTTGCACCGGGAAAGGTGGAAAAAAACAAACGCGCCCCCCACCCCCCTGCCACAAGATGTTGCGTAACGCGCAGCGGCAGACGGCCTCCCTCAGGCTCAAAAATACTCCGTCGCTGACAGCGGGGGAGAGGGGGAGCGCGACGATGACCCCGGGCGGCCTTGCGGTCGCGTCCTCTCCATGTTGACCCACCGAGAGGCGGCCCGGCCGAGTTTTGACTGGCGAGCAGAGCAGGAGCAAAAGCTTTTCAGAGAAAGTCCCCGAACGTTGCCCGAAAGGCAGCTCGGGCGGGAAGGACCGCTCGCCCCCGACCGCCGCTGTTCAACGGTACGCGGTGAGCTCAATCGCCGATCAACGCGGCCGTGACCACCGACGACGTTCTCGCCGAAGGCGGCCCCGGCGCCGATCGCCCCCGTCGACGGCCGCCTCGTTCGGACGCCGACGTCCAGGGGAGGCTTCCGTGACCGTCGATGCCGTCGTCTCGGCCGTCCGCTTCCCCGTGTGGCTAAGCGACAACGGGACGACGCTGCGCCCGTTGTCCGCGAGCGACCTCCCGCATCAACGTCGACACCGATCGGCGTATTCACCACACTGACAATGGGATTGGATTTCAACCTTGTTTCGCTGTCAACCGAGCGACGGGCGTCATGACGCGCAAAATACAAGACCGACAAACAGACATCAAGGGGCAGGCGCGCGCGCACGCGCGTCAGGACGCGCGAATGAGCTCCAAGCTGGCAGAGAAGCGTTCTCGCGCGGCCGGCACCTTCTGCGTCCAGCCGTGACAACTTCGAGTCTTCTCAAAGTTGCTCTCCTCGTGCCAACTCCTGCGAGAGTCTCCCCGGTGGGACGCCGGCGGCCGTCCTCGCCGCCGCGCCCGCCGTCGAGCAGAAGCACACAGTCTCCGAGGAGGAGCGGCAATCGCGGCCCCCCGCGACGGACGGCGGGATTTCCGAGCGCCGCCCCTTGAGGGCGCGCGTCGGCAGTCCGAAAGGGAAGCCGGCGGCCACCACTGCTGGCCGCCACGCACGCGCCTCCTAGGCGATGGCGTGGCGTCGCATCGCTTCCTGCCACCGACGGGGCGGACACGCGTCAGGAGAGCCGTCACACGGTCAACGCCGAGGGCGAGGACGGGCACCTCGTCGAGGACGTCGCGCTGGCAGCCCAGGAACAAGTGCGGCAGGATGCGGCTCGGGCTCGGGCCCGGGGCTGCGGGCGGCGCCGGCGTCTGCTGCTCCTGCTTCCCCTCGCACAGACGTGCAAACTGGCGGGAAAACTCAGAGAAGCCGCTTGAGCAGCTTGGACGCGCTGACGTTGACGGCGTCGGCGATGCGCGACGCGTTGAAGTCCGCGAAGGGTCGGCTGTCGACCAGCAGCACGCCGAAGCCGCCGCCGCCGCCGCCACCGCGCCTCTCGAGCAGGCCCGCCAGCGCCTCCGCGGACAGGGGGCGCACCCTCGGCGCGACCGCGGCCGAAGAAGCCTCTGCCACGTCACGGCGGCATGCGTTGTGATGACGTCATGACGTTGCCGTCAAACACGGGAAGATCCTGGAACAAAGGAGACACACACACACACAAACGCTGACTGCGAGGGCTGTAAAAGGAGCACAACAAGGCATCGTTCGTGTTGGAAAAGTTGATGTTGGACGATTTAGACGGCCTGAACTATGAAGCAAGAGTTGGCACGACGTGATGCAGACAAAGATGTCGCTACGCTCAACACACAATGACGCCTTGAGCGAAACTCGAGCAAACGTAGCGACTCACCGCTCGCTCCAACGTTCGACGGCCGAGTCGTCAGAGGCGCAGAAGTTTGACCCGCTTCGCGCCTTCGTCCCAAGTTTGTCCGGATCCAAAGTCGATGAGGTCACGGCGGAGAAAAGAAAAGCATGACGTCATCCCGGCGAGCTGGAGCCACTTAAAGGCGCAGGCGCAACGTAACAAAAAAAAAAATCTAATACGTACATCAAGAAAATAATTTTTCAATTGAGCACGGAGACACTCGCGGACTCTTTGGAATGATTTTTGACACGGTTCTTTTTCAAGTAGGTAGCAGGATATTGTTTTCTCTTTTGTTTCAAGCAAGCGTGTGCAAGATGCAATTTCCCCATTCATTCGTTCGTTCGGGCAAAACGTTGACTTGACAAACGTAAAGGATGTAAACGAGAAACCTACTTTTTGGACACTTTGACAACGATACCGCTCGCAAGCGGCCAAACGGCTCCAGGAACAAAAAGGCTCTGAAGTGCATCAATTCCCCACGAGCATGAGGAAAAGATAGATTTGATCTCCCACGATTCAAAATGGCCTCTTTTGTTAAAATTCGAGGGAGACGAGTACGACCAAAGTGGCGTTTCGACGGTGAAACGTCTCTGAACTGAACTTTGTTTTGTCACGAGCAATAAAGTTTTGACCGCAGTGAGGGGGCGTGGCGTACGGCGTCATCGGGGAGGCGCTAGGCGTCGTCGACGCTGTGGTCTTGCGTGTTTGTTGTTGTTGCAGTCTGCGTCTGAGACTAGACGAACGAGGCCGAGCCGAAAGCGAAGCCGAGGTGAGCGAGCGAAAGCGAAAGCGAGCGACGGGCCCTCAGGCACGGAAGCAATCCGACATGGACGAAAACAACAAGGTGAGCCGAGCCGAGCCGAGGCCCTGAGCGGCGGCCATGTTTGTTTGTCCGCTCGTGACTTGGTGGAGGAAAGAGCTGCTTCGCGATCTACCGGCGCCATGAAGTCGGACTCGAAGGCGCTTCCGTGACGTTCGGGCTCTAACGCGGACGCGCTGTGGCGGTTGTGCGCAGATGCTGGCGGCGGGCAAAGCCAAGAAGCCCGGCAAGCGCGGCCGCAAGCCGGCCAAGATCGACCTGAAGGCCAAACTGGAGCGAAGTCGCCAGAGCGCCAGGGAGTGCCGCGCCAGGAAGAAGCTGCGCTACCAGTACCTGGAGGAGCTGGTCTCCAGCAAGGAGCGGGCCATCTGCGCGCTCAGGGAGGAGCTGGACATGGTGAGCGTGTGGAAGCGGCCTCCGCCCCCGACCCCGGCCTTCTCGCTGACGTCGCGCTTTTGCTCGCAGTACAAGCAGTGGTGCTCAGCCATGGACCGGGGCAAGATCCCCGCGGAGATCCGAGCTCTGCTGACGGCCGACGACCAGCACCGAGGACCCGCCACGGCGGGGAGCGGCACCAAGACGCTCAAGAGCGCCAAGATCCAAAGCAACGCCTGACGAGCGGACGACGGCCACCGTCCCCGAAATCCGTCGCCGCGTCCTCCCGACTTTGCAAAGTTCCGGCCGAGCCCGTCCCCGGCTGACTTCGGGGTGCGGTAGGACCGGAGGCCAGCCTGCTCGCGGGACGCAACCAGACGCGCCCGCGTTTCCACTCGCAAACTTTTTGCCGGGGTGGGGGGGCCGCCGCCTTTTTTGACATTTGGGAGAAAAACCAGTAATAAAAACGGTCAACTCCACAATCGCATGGCGTACAGTCAAGTGAAATCAGAAATCACACTTGGCGGTCCGGGGACGCTCTCTTTGAGGCTCGACGCGCGTTCGAAGCCAGACCGGCCACCCAAACCTTTGCTCGGACTTCCCGATGGAAAGCGGCAAGCGGTTGGCCCGCTAACTCCCTTGCTTGGAACGTTGCACATACCTCGGGTCAAACGTTTCCCAGCTCCCTGTGCCGTTTGCTGTCCAATGTCGCTTCCACGCCGCCTCCCGTTTTCTTGCGAATGTCGTCCCGTCGCTCGTTTGTCTCGCGCGGCGAGCCTTTCTTGTTCCTGGAAATAAAATTCTATTCGCCTTTCAGTGGCCATTCATTCACGTTTGTCAGCATGGAACCCGACAACCTCGGCATGATGTTCACACACACACACAAAAAACAAAAAACGCAATCCAGGCTTGACATCTTTCTTCAGTGAGCGGTCATTGATAGTTCTCAGTGTTGAATTGAAACGGGCTGCGCTAGCTGAGCCAAACAGTGAAGATGAACGGCAAAAAGCGAGGAACCGGTTAGCTTTTGCAACGACGATCGTGAACAAGGCGGCAGAAGAACCCCCAAAACCACTGAGAAATCGTCACAAGAAAAGTAAGAATGCAAATCCATTCACACGTCATCTGAGGAGAAACGCGGGCCACACCTTCACCAAATCATCACGCCCATCTGGCTTGCGGTCTGCTCCCGCGCGAGGGCAAAATGGCTACCACAAGACATCACAGCCCCCCCCCCCCGTTCAGTTCATTTTACAGCCTTTCTTTTTAGGTGATGAGGCTTACCTTCCATTGTTGACGCTTCTGAGACGAAGAAAAAATGGTTGAGTAGCCCTCGCAGATAAGAGTTGTCCAATTGCTCTCGGACCACTCAAATGTGCACGTTGCGCCTCTTTGTCCACGCTGTGGCATTTTTGTCGGGGAGCCAAAGAACGAGAGAGCGCAGCGTAGAAATCGATGGCGTTAGGCGAGGCGCACTTAGCGAGTGGCTTTGCTCCTTTATGCGTCCGGATTCTTGGCGACGTCTGCGCCGTTGGACTGCAACATCATGACGAGGCTCGCTCCCGTTGCTTCAGGAGACGCGTTTCTGATCGCTGTCAGGGAGAAAACATCGGAAGCGATGCGTCGCAAATGAGCTTCAATCATGAAAGGTCATTCGGGACCTCAAGCCATTTCCGCACTCTGTGTGACAAATGGCACTTGACAAGATTTCTTCCTCGGCAACAGATAGCTTTTTGGGGGGGGGGGGTTGGGGCTGCCAATCATTGAAATACTCCTATAGGTCAAATGCATCCCAAAGGAAATGGATTCGAAATCATTCAAGTCTGTCAGTTGAGAGGAAAACTAAACTAACACCCCTTTCGAGCGGTTGCCTGTTTGCCCCGTCACCCGTCGAAAACACTTCCCGACGCGCCGAGCGGTCAAAGCGAAGGGAAGGTCACGTTGCCGGCCGCCCCGAGTTTGCCGAGCGCCGCTTTGGCCGGCCGCACGTCAGTTAGCTTAGCGCGCTACACAAAAGTGTTGTGGGCGCCGGCGGCCCAGGCCAGTTTCTTCTGGCCCTTGGCGTCGCGCTCGAAGCTTTGGTGCGCGGCGTCCTTGACGTCGACGGGCACGTGGAGCACGCCCACGTAGTTCTTCTTGGCCAATCGCGAGCTGGCGGTGATGGTGTAGGCGTTGCTGCGGTAACACTTGACGGAAGACATGCAGAAGGTTTCCCGCATGCCGCGGCGGAAGTTGGCGTTGTAGACCGAATACAAGGTGGGCTTGGAGGCGGCCGAGCTGAAGGAGATCCAGGCGACGGCGGCGAAGAAGAGCAGCGCCCGCCGCCGCACGGCACCGCCGCCGCCGCCGTCGTCGTCCACCTCGCGCGGGTGCCACAGCTGCGCCAGGTAGAAGGGCGTCCACGTCACGAAGAAGAGCCAGTTGAGCACCAGGAACATCTTGATGGTCTTCACCTTGGGGCGAGGAACCGTGTTCATGGTGCGCCGCACCGCGTGGCCGTCGGCGCCGAACCTCCAGATGTGGCGCACCACCCGCTGGTAGAAGGAGAAGATGAGCCCCGCCGGGAGGGCGAAGCCCAGGAGCAGGTGGGCGGCGGCGTAGCAGACGCCGCCCCGGCCGGCGGGCAGGAAGAAGCGGCAGCGGCCGCCCTCGGCCGGCGC